ACTTATAATAAACGCCCATCTAGGTTTGTTTTGTGAACATGGGTAATTTACGGTATTGTTGGCATAGGGTTGAAATGCTCCTGTGTGAAGATAGAAGGCCATTTCTGGAAGCTATCATTCACATGCTAATGTTAGGCCTAACTGGGGCTATTCCGTTGGTTAAGTAGATGGGGGACTAACCCGACAACCTGGCCAACTATGTCCGTCCAGCTGACCATGGAAACGACTATAAAGACCGTGGGGAAGGGGAGGGGGAAATATAGTGAAAAATCAGTTAATATAGCCTGTGTTTAATTCTTCAATACAGACAATCCTTTTTCACTGCACAACAAAGGTTTGCGGTTGTATATTCCACATCTCCCTGCAAAGCTTGATTTTTCTCCCTCCCTTAACAAAACCCTATTCATTGTGTTGGGTAGTCCTTGAACTATAAGACTTCATAAAATTAAGATCAGTAACCCTAATACTTTTAAAAATCCAATCTGACTTAGTTTGGAAAATAAGCTCCTGACATATCTGTTTCTTTCCTAGGTGCTTTAAGCAGGAACTTTTATGGACCTTGACTGCTCTAGGGGCAGTCTAGCCCATCTGACTAACACAATCTTGTGCTTGGGTTTCTGTACAGACCCTCTCTCCACCCCACTGCCTCTCCCACACTTCAAAAAACTTTAGGAAATAGTTAAAGACTTTGCTCAGTTACTTTTTAGGATTATGTTGTTTTGAAGGAGTAGATCATTCTTTTTCAAAAGAGAGATGGATGAAAACAAAGAAATTCCATTGCCCTTGGACAATGTGCAGTTTTGTGAACAGGAAATTGGAGCAGTAAAGCCCTGCTAATCTCGGGGATGATGATTCAGTTCGAGTGTTAGTACCTCTCCCTTGCTTTTACACTCCTTTGACTTTTGTTTCCAGGGCTTGGAGATATTTCATTCCTTATTCGAACCATTCCCCAGTGATGTGCAGGAGAGAAAACCAACTCAATCTAGTCCACTTTTAAAGTAGAAAACAACTGTTCTGTTCTGACCGGGGAGAAGAAACAGGTTGAAAATAACAGTGAATCAGATAATGAGGGAACAGATCTGAAAGTGCCAGCACAGGGAGGACACAGAATAGGAATTTGGTAAATGGGGCTTTATAATCTGTACCGCAGTGTCTGCCACCCTGGACCAGAGGAGATTCTGTCCCCACCCCAAGGGTATTTGCCAATGTCTGGAGACATTTTTGATTGTCATGACTTGGGGGTGATACTGGCATCTAGCAATATTGGTATCAGCGTACTATGTCACAAACTACCCTAAATTAACCTCTCCACCTCAAGTAGCCCCCACAGTGTAACATGGCTGCACAAGAATAGGAGCTGACATTATCAGCACTATGAATAGCAGGGGGGGGAACCCAATGTGATAACCAAACAGAGACCAGGGTTGCTGCATAACATTCTACAATGCATAAGGGAATCCCCTACAACAAAGAATTATCTGAACCTGCAAAAGTGCTGAGATTAGAACACCTTACTGTAGATAAATGAGCATGTACAATGTCTGCTTAAAAAGTAAGTTAAGTAATAGTGTTGATCCTTACTTGACTATATTTAGAAGTATATGCAGATATGTTTCTGTAGCTCTCCATTCATTGCCTGTTTCCAAAGCTAGTCTAGGTAAGATTCCTCAACAATGAACGTTCTCTCTCGAACAAAAATGTTAAAGTATCACCAGTGCCAAAAGCTGGAACCTTTAGTACACTAAAACAAATTGATTTACACAAATCTAATTTGCCTCTAACTTTTGAGAGATTTGCATAAAATCAGAAACACCTATCTACAAGAGATCACTTTCCTTCATCCCTCTTCTTCTCCCCTCTCAAATAGATGTTAATATACACTCAAGTTGCCTAGGATTTTCCCCCTAGTCTTTAGAAATACCCCACTTGCTTTGAAATACTAAAATGAAATAAACACTCTTTTTTAAAAAGATCTAAAAATAAAAAGAGGTTGATTCCTCAAGAATTTAAACTGTGGCCAATTCCATTCTTGTCACATTCTTAACTGGACCCAGAGACAGAGTTCTTAAGAACAGACCAAAATGTTTGGCTTTCCCTTCGTCCCGTGACAACCAGACCCCACCATCAGCTTGCTGTGTCACGAATTACCTAGAATAACCTCTCCACCTCAAGTAGCCCTCACAATGGAAGATGGTGGCTCAAGAATAGGAGCTGACATTATCAGCATTATTAATAGCAGATGGGAAGTCCAATGAGTTAAACCAAACAAGCTGATCTTGTCACGTGTCTTTTGTGTGTGTTGGGATGCTGATGGACAACTGCCGAACAGATTAGGGGTTTGAGACCATAGTTTGAATCTAATCCTTAGCTGGCTGACTGTGGACCTTTTATCAGACAGAACAGCATGTGGTATGGCTAGTAGTCTCTGTGTGGAAAGAGTTCTAAGAACAACCCAGTACGGTTCCAGAACATCTTTAGCATTTCACTTAACCCGCTATGGCAGATGACAGATTGTTTGGAATGCCCAAAAGGAGCCAGGAAGTTCTCTCCCATGGAACTTCCTGCAGTGAGGAAATGTTAGGTGTCTGCTGTGTCCAATTCAGTTGGCCACTCATGCTATGTGGCTATTGAGCACTTGGCATGTGGCTAGTGTGACTGAAGAAATGCATTTTTAATTTTACTTAGTCCTAGCAACTATCATAATAAACAATGCCAGTCTAGGACACACAAACTCATTATTCCACATCTTAATTATAGATATACTGATTCCTTTTTCTATTTAAAAGAATTATAACAAAATTATAGAATGTTTAGAAAATAGGGGGAAATTCTGTTTACGCCTCCTAAATTCATGAGCCTAACATAATTGTTATGAATTTGGTCAGCTTTCAAGGTTTTTTTCTATGTATTTTTAGATGAGCTTTTTATTATTTCCTGTAATGAGCTTTTCACTTAACATGATGAAAGGAATATATTTCTATATTACTAAATAATATTTACAAACTATCAGAGCTAACAACTACCTGTTTCTTAGATTGTGGAGCACATTTTATTTCTTCTATTTTTGAAATGTTTGGATTGTTTCTTTTTTTGTTGTTGTTTTGTTTTATGGTTGTTATAAAATAAAGCTGTAGTAAACATATGAAAGCATGCTAATATTTCTTCACTTTAGAATGCATTTACACACTAATGCATGTTTGACTCTTAGGTAATGATGAATCATTTCCCTCCCACAGATTCAATTTACAAAAGTACTTTTCACTATTCTTGTGAAAATTCTAAAAGGATAAAAAGCCAGACTTTTCTCTCTGCAGCATAGTAATTGAATAAATTATGAGACGATTAGTATTGCTTCCGATATAACAAAAAAAACCTCTTAATACAATATAACTATACTCAGGATTGATTGCACAGATCTTTGCTGTGCTAATAAGTTCCCTGGCACAAATCCTGCAAATAAAATATTTCACATGTTCAGATAATTTGCAGGCTCTCTAGAATCTCTAAAGATGAGAAAATTAACACGGTTAAAAATATGTTTTATGTTGTTCCCTATAAATTTATGTAGTTATAGTATCCCATCTCCAAACTAATATACTTTTATCATTTAAAGCAATATAAATATAATCCAAGTAAACTTGCACACATCTTACAATTAGTAATTATGCTGAAGATCTTGAGTGAAGACATTTTATATTTTGCATACTAGAAAATTGTCATGTGGCTTTAAAATTTTTTCTTTTTAAATAAATTATATATTCTGATGGCTCTGATCATCAAACAACAAAGGGATCCTACTGATAACACAGATGAATTTAATATATAACACACTGAATATTATAAGCCAAAAAATCAAATGTTCTCATTATTTATAATTTTGGTTTCAGCTTTTGTTATATCTCCTTGTCTTTATTGGAGTTAAGATTTGTATTTGAGAGATTGAATGTGGATTGAATGAACTTGTGCTAATTAAACATTAGATTATACATGCAAAGCAGCTTTGCAAACCATGAAGTACAGTACAGTGGAAATCTAAATGACTTGAAAAGTACTCTTTGCTTATCCTATATATGAAAAGTAGACTTTAAAATTGGCCTAATGGAAACAAATCTAAGATTTCTCTCTCTCTCTCTCTCTCTCTCTCTCTCTCTCTCAGAATGAATTTAATAATTTATGGTATAGATTTTTTTTCCTTCACATGCAACAGTACAAAATGTTTGGTCTGATAAAATAACCGCATTTAGGGCTTTTATTAGCGATACCATCCTAGGGTCATAGATCTTTTTCTTGGTGGCGGGGAGGGGGAAATTGGAACATAAGTCCCCAGATTTAAATCACTGGGACTTCGTTCACAATATGAATGAAGCACAGTGCTGGAAAGTCATTTCCCAAAAATCAATAGTGTTTGTACTGGAAATGTTTTTTAAAATGCTTGGAATACCATCAACTCTGCATGCACTTTGCGGGTTATCTGAGGAAAGTATTTAAAACTTGATGGTTTTTCCTTTGCCACACAGTTAATCTCTTGCTTTCCCCCTCTCAATTCTTTAAGAACACAAACTGCCCTGACTGGTTTGGCTCAGTGGATTGATGCTGCCCAAATCCCTGGTCAAGGACATGTACCTGGGTTGCGGGCATATCCCCAGTAGGGGGTGTGCAGGAGGCAGCTGATTGATGTTTCTCTCCCATTGATGTTTCTAACTCTCCTCTCCCTTCCTCTCTGTAAAAAATCAATAAAATATATTTTTTTAAAAAAAGAACACAAACTAATTTAGCATTATACACAATATAACATTATGAGCTTCACTCTACTTTTAAAAAAATAATAGAAGTAATTCCAATGTCATACGTAAATGGTTCGCCATTACTCATGCCACTGTGGTCTGTCGTTCATAGGGACGATGAAGAGGTGTCTGCTGTTTGTCTTTGCGCACCTGTTGTGCTAAGAGTTTCTCGTTTTTAGTTAACAGAATTCATAGTTTCATTTTTATGAATTGCAGGTGGTTTTCATGAGCCTGTGCAAAAGTTTTTGGGACTGTGGACTTGTAGCCCTGGATGACATTGCAATAGAATTGGGAAGCTGCCGGTCTCCAGGTAAGACGGCTATCTCTTCAGCTCTCTTTGTCTCCCTGGCCTATACAAGACATTTCTTATTTCTCTAAGAACATACAACATACATTTAATCTGTGCTAGTCCACCCTTTGCTTTGCTTTCCAGAAGTGCCTTTCTACAGAGTTGTGGGATTTAGAAATGAAGACTCAAATGCAATGTGAGACTTCATCTAAATGACTTTGTCCCCCATATTCTCATCTGTAAGAGATGTAGTAATACCTACCTGGATGCTGGGGATCGTGCCTCAAAATTTTCTAACATAAGACCTGGCACCAACGGTGCTTTAAGGACAAATGCCTCCTGTTATCGTTACTATTGATATTTGTGTTATCATTGTCTTACAGGAATGCAGATTTTCAAGCAACATGGATGAAATTCTTTAAGAACACAAACTAATTTAGCATTATACACAAGATAACATTACGAGCTTCACTCTACTTTAAAAAAATAATAGAAGTAATTCCAATGTCATACGTAAATGGTTCGCCATTACTCATGCCACTGTGGTCTATATCCTATTCTATTTCCAGATAAGATGCTAAACATCTACAAGGTTGGGGGAAAGTGGGTCTACAGTTGTTTGTATGGAGAATAATACAATAAATAGTAAATAATAATACAAGAATCAACTCTATGTTTCATGTGCTCACAGCTGTGAACTGACAGCAGAACAATGGGCCAAGCCTTGATGATAGTGACAAAATAAAGATGGCGGCTATGTGTTGAGCATTATGTGTAATGAGAAAAAGATGGATGTCTCAACCCAGATCATTGGTCCGTATCTGCTAATGACCACTGCATCCTAAATCATGGGGTATCCATTTCTTTAACAAACAGGCAAAACGTGGTAGCAATCTGGCACTGGCGAATCATCTCCATGTTTATTTAATTAAAAGACAGTTTGTTTTTAGTTCCTTGACCTGCCAGGGCATTGCAAAGACAAGACAAAGAACAAGATAAAAATATCCGCACGCATGATGTAGAGAAGGGAATGAGGCTTCATTAGCTTATACCATATGCAAAATTTAAAAAAAGTAAAATAGTTATCATGCAAGAGAGATGAAGTACAGCCTATTTACTAGAGAAATTTGCTAAGAATCTGACTGTAGAAGGAGAAGTCCCCAGTAAGTTGGGAGGTGGCACCATTCTAATAATGATAATTATTAAAATTATTGAAATTAGCACCTAAAGACATCAAACTTGTTTTTACAAATAGAAAATAAGGCTTCAAGTAGCAAAACACTAGATCTTAATATTCATTTAGCTAATATGTACTGAGAACCCCATGTTCTAAAAACTTTACATACATGACCTCATTCAATCCTCATAACCCATGAGGTGGATAATTAACATCCCCACATTACAGGTATCAATGCTGATGCACAGAAAAATTGTAGCAATCTGTTCCACACAAATTAAGCGATGCCTCTTGATTCTAGAATCTAGAAGTACATTTAGTTCTCTCACGTTCTTCCCCTCCAGCAAAGCAACTCAGAATTGTTCTGACGACTCCCTTCACTCATCCCAGATTTTGAAGACAGCTCCTGCATTATGCATTTTATTATTTTCCACATTTCCATAAAGGCAATATACCTCCAATGTTCAGAGCTTTGTAAACTTATTCACATGAATAAATTCACAATTCAGAAGAAGTTTCTTTCTCAAAGTAGCCCAATCGTTTTGAATAGGGATTTCTATTGGTCTCTGCCTCTGATGGCGGGGCCCATGGTGGTGTTCAGGCTCTAACTGGAGGCAACAGGCAGTAGGCTGCTATGGGGGAGGGGAAGGGGGAGTGGAGGGGAGGGGGGAGGTGGGGGCGCTCCCTCTTCATCTGCATGGCTATGGCCAGGCCACACTCAAACATGCAGAATGGGCTAGCCTATGGGAGAGCCAGGGACAACATATTCACTGAAAGTGCCTCCGTGGTTGCAACACCTGTTGTTTTCTTGCAGAGAAGCTTCGCCCTCCACCTGGAGAATGTACCTTCGAACAAGACGAATGTTCATTTACTCAGGAGAGGAGAAACCGGAGCAGCTGGCACAGGAGGAGGGGAGAAACTCCCACCTCCTACACAGGACCTAAGGGAGACCACACGACTGGGGTAGGTGAGTTACGCCACAGGGTGCTGTTTCCCAAGGAAACCTAGAATAGCATTCTAGGGCAGTCACTGCGTTTTGATGTGCAAATTTATGTCGTGTGTCTAGAATGTACTACAAACGTGATTCAACACACATGGGGTAGATCATTCAGCATGTGCATTTAAAATTGTTCTTTCCATTTATTACATGGCTTATGTATCTTGTTGCAACGAGGAGATAAATGGGCTTACAGAGATATGCACGCGAAGGCAATTTAATCAGAGGTAGGTTAAAAGGGGAATGACACAAGTTTTCTTAAAAAATCGTGATCTCAACTGGAGCCAGGACTGAAGTTGGTTAGAAAATGTGCTGGCAGACAGGGCAGGAGACATGCGTGTTTGACTCCACCCTCTCTAGCAGCTGAAACAAAGATGGAAAGCCCATCTTCCCTTAATGGTTTCAGTCCTTTGCCGTTTGTTGAGATACGTTGTTACCCAGTATATAGTCAATTTAGGTAAATGTTTCATGTATATTAGAAAATCATGTATATTTTGATGTTGTTGGATGTAGTGGTCTATATACATGTTGATTGAATCTAGCTTCTAATTTTTACTGATTTTTTTTTATCTTGTTCAGTTCAGAGGTATATTAGTTTCCCATTATGACTGTGGATTCATTTATTTCTCCTTTTAGTTCCATGAATTCCTGTATGCCTGTACTTTTGGACCTATGTTTTAGGCACATGCAAATTTATAATCCTTATGCATTCTGGTGAATAAGCCATTTTATTACTATGAAATGTCCCTTTATCTCTGTCATGCTTCTTGTTTTAAAGTCTGCATTGCCTGATATTAGCATTGCTTCACCAGCTCTGTCACTAAGTGTTTATGTTTCTTTCTAAGTCCCTTTCAAATATTCTGTAAACTTTTTTTTAGTATGGCTCTTGTATGTGGCAATAGTTAAGTTTTCTATTGTATCCAGTCCCACCACAATCTTGTATTTTAATTGCAGCATTTGGATCATAAAGATTTAATGTAATTACTGAAACATTTAGACCAGCGGTTCTCAACCTGTGGGTCACGACCCCTTTGGCAGTCGAACGACCCTTTCACAGGTGTCGCCTAAGACCATCCTGCATATCAGATATTTACATTACGATTCATAACAGTAGCAACATTGCAGGTATGAAGTAGCAACGGAAATCATTTTATGGTTGGGTCACAACATGAGGAACTGTATTTAAAGGGCCAGAAGGTTGAGAACCACTGATTTCGACTTATATTTACTTTCCTAGTATTCTAATCTCTCCTTTATTCACCTGTTTATTTTATACAGTATTTACTAGTCTTACTCTTTTCACGGTTTCTATAGTATTTGTCTTATATTTTATTTCTATATATTTTAAATCCCAGAAAATATTATTGGGTTGGTATTCTTTTATATTTATTTACATATTTCCCCCATTACATTAGTCTTTACTCCTTTCTGCATTTCCATGTTTCTCTCTTGAATTATTTTCTTTTGTAAAAAATGTTTTTCCTCTTGCCTCTAGTTTTTGTTTTACTGGTGATTCTGGGGTTGTTTTTGTTTTTGTTCTGTTTTTTGGTGCAAATCTGATAATGATGAATTCTCTCAGTTTTTGTTTGTCTGGGAATGTCTTTATTTTTTCTCTACATTTGAAGGGTATTTTTGCTGAGAATAGAATTCTAACTTGATCATTACCTATAATTGTAGACTGCATTTTATCTTTTCACTCCCCATCCCTAAAGCTTATCAATTTATACTTGGAAAACATACACAAGAAGAAAATAGAAAGAGGAGAGGCATTCAAAGCTGTTTTACAGAGAAGTGCATTAGATGGCCAGTAACTATTGGCCCTTTAAATAAAAAGAGAAACTGATAAAAGCCACCATTTAGATATGACAGTTGACTGTGTGTCTACCAAAATCAACATAAGATCATGTGTAGCAATTCCAAGGGAACTAGAGTTTCCTACTTACTAACTGGAGGTGCAATAAAGCTTTCCAAATCTAAGGTAGCCTGGTGTGGTCTAGTGTAAAGACCAATGATGGAGAGTGAACTGGCTCTGCCCCTTGCTGCCTGCACAGCCTGGGTTTGTTCACATACCTTTTCTGAGCTTTGGTTTCCTCATATGTAAAATAAAGATTGCAGTGGATGTCCTGCTAGTGTCTTAGGGTTGCTCTGATGATTAACTGAGATTATATTTGTGAAAAGGCTTGATACTATAAAAGCTCCATTGAAATGAATGGTATCACTATTTTTATAATTGGAAGTCTTTTATAACTAGCATGTTCACCTCTGGGATACTTTCTTGGACTCATTGTTCTGTGTCATTTGTGCTTTTATAAATAGAAAACTAGCCCTAACCGGTTTGGCTCAGTGGATAGAGCATCGGCCTGCAGACAGTAGGGTCCCAGGTTCAATTCTGGTCAAGGGCATGTACCTTGGTTGTGGGAACATCCCCAGTACAGGGTGTGCAAGAGGCAGCTGATCGATGCTTCTCTCTCATCGATGTTTCTAACTCTCTATCCCTCTCCCTTCCTCTCTGTAAAAAAATCAATAAAATATATTTTTTTAAAAAAAGAAAACTACAGCCTGTGGCTACAAGTAAGATGACTTAATAGTTTGGAAGATCTTAAACTAATGTGTTCCAAACTATCACTGGGTAACTCAAGTGGTAGGTAAATAAACATTTTTATTTGATAGTAATATCCATGTACAAGAAAAATATATAGAAGCCCTGGCTGGGTAGCTTAGTTGGTTAGAGTGTTGTCTCAACATGCCAAGGTTATGGGTTCGATCCCTAGTCAGGGCACAAAAAAGAATCAACCAATGTAAGCAAAAATAAGTAGAACAACAAATTTCTACCTCTCCTTCTCTCTCTCTCCCTCTCAAAGCCAATCAATCAATAAAATGTTTTAAAAAAGAAAAATATATAATCAATACATCAAAACCATTGTTTTATGATTTATAACTTATTTTCTGTTTTCATGCTAATAAGTTTCCTATTTGCATAAATGTATTTAAGTAATAAAAACAAAGTCTATTTAAAGAAAATTATGAGATGAATAATAGTGTAGGTAGTATGAGGACAGCCAAAAATAATATCTTGAAGATGGTATTTATATGACTAAACTTTGGGAAACATTTCCAATGCTTAAGTAAGTCATAGCGTAGGACAAGTCATTCTAGTAGAACAATAAAGACCAAATAAAAGAAAGATTCTAGCCCCATCATTTAGCTCCTTCTTTAATAAAATAATAAAGGCATTTGTGCAGATGGATCTTGACTTGCATCGAGGTGGGATGGACTCCGAGAGATTTGTCTCTCCATTTCCTGCCACCATCTACTTGAGTAACTTTATCCTGGCAGAATCAGCAAGTTTTCTGAAACAGTTGCTATTTCTTTACAAGACATAAAGACAAGTCTTAACAAATTTCCCTGGTTTTTATAGGCTATTGCAATTTTATCAACATTTATTTGATGGCATGCTGTCAGAATTTTTTTTTAAAACAATTGCTTTAGTTGTCCTGGAGTTTGCAGAAATTTTCTGACCAAGAGATAATATAATACATAAGTCAACAGATAACTATTCAGGTTAGTAAGAAAATGACTTCTGTGTAACATTTCCTAGCTCACTGAGTTCACCAGTAAATAGATTAAAAAGTGGAGTCCTCCCTTTCTCCTCCCCTCCACTACACCCTAGAAAAACAGCTATTCATCATTCTCTTAACAATTTCCTGAGAAAAAGACACCATCCATTTCTTTTCTGGCACTGTTCAGTGCTTCAATACATCTCCTGTATTCCTGGCAATTAAATTCTCTTCCAACATGCTACTAAGTAAAGGTAGAAGTCATTTCTATGAACACTCCCTTCTCGTGTGATAGAAATAACAAGGGTACATTAAGTGCCAAATGACATTTACTTATAAAATTGTGCTGTCAGACAAAAGAAAACCAGACCTATATATTTACTATGTTATATAGCAGAAATTTTAACAGTCTAATTCAAGTCCTTGTTCTTTAAGAATTTTGGTAAGCCTGTAATGATGCTACCCATCTAACCATTTACAGATTATCAAAATTTCCAATATCCTTCAATTTTTCAGTGACTTATCTCACTAGTTTCTGATAATGTCATATTCTACTTACACAGAGAAGGCTTCTATGACAACCTCTTTAAAAAATTATAATAAAATATGCATGATATAAAATGTATTATTTTAATTATCTTTAAGTGTATAATAGTTCAGTAGCATTAACCCATGCACATAGTTGTACAGGCATCACCGCTATACTACATCTGCAGACTTTTTCATTTTCCCAAACTGAAACTTTGCCCTTTAAACAATAACTTGTCATTTATGACAAGCTTTAAAGTCATTTAAAAGGTCTGAAAAGCCCAGCCGGTGTGGCTCAGAGGTTGAGCGTCGACCTATGAACCAGGAGGTCACGGTTCAATTCCCGGTCAGGGCACATGGCCGGGTTTCAGGCTCCATCCCCAGTGTGGGGCATGCAGGAGGCAGCCAATCAATGACTCTCTCTCATCATTGATGTTTCTATCTCTCTATCCCTCTTCCTTCCTCTCTGAAATCAATAAAAATATTTAAAGTAAATAAATGGTATGATAAAAAGCAATCTTAGAGACACATCTAGCTGTTGTTTTTCCCAAAGATGCCTCTTTTCCCGGGTTGTTTAGAATCCTCTTCCAGCTTAATGAGTGCAGCTAGCTGTTCATCCCACATGGCCTCGCACAGGCCGCCAGGCTCCGTCCCAGCCCTGGGGCAGGGGCTGCCAGGCTGGAGGAACAGCTGCGTGGCTGTTCCGGATTATGAGTGTGGTGTGTGTCTCCACATCACAATTGCTGGGCAAGGAACATATGGGACCCTGAGCTCCCAATAGACCCATTGGAACCCCCTCCTGGATGTTAAACAATGACCCGCAGAAAGAAAGTGATTTGTTTTCTCCAGTTAATAATCCCTTCCACAGACCAGAGTCCCTCACGTGCAGGAACACGTGAGCTGGTCTGAGGTTTCCACGCCGGGGCTCTCTGGCTCCCGCCCAGAGCTTTTGTTTGCTGAGACAGACAGCATTTGGAGTAGTAATGTGGCAGGGCTTGTCAACACACGGCTTTTCTCTGCCTCCTGAGCACATGGGAGGCAGGCTGGCTCTCCATGAAGCTCTGATCTTTTCTGGGGAAAGGAAGTGTCACATGCAAGTCATAAAGAAAAACAGATTTGGACTCAGAGAAATAATTGGTTTGTGTATCAGAGGGGCAAACTCTGATCAGCTGACAAATATGTTACAGTTATTTGTAGGTATAGCTCTTGGTCCAGAACGGTCTAAATCAGTATTGCCTTATGGAATATACACATGTGCTTAAAATAGGATCTGTATCCCTGAAGGGTTTTTGGAAAGACCACTATTACTCAAGAAAAGTAGGCTGGTGTCAATGCCCGGGAAAGGCAATGGTACTTACTTTCCCCTGCATGTTCTCCCTCCCCGCAAAGCAGCACAAATGCACAAATGAAACAGCTTAGGAAATTCCTTTCATATGCCATGGTGCTAAACACAAAGATCTCTGGAACTGGAAACCTTAGGTAATGGCTTCAGCCACATACCAAAGATCCAGAGGTGAACACATTACCTAAGTAATGCTTCATGCATTTGGGGCTAAGTGGTCAGTGCATTGTACTCATGAAAGAAAGAACTCCATTGGATAACTAGAGGTAATTAGGGCTTTTCCTCCCTCCTCCAAGACCTCAGACCAATTGTGGCTGGACTCATATTGTTATCACAAGACAAAAGATACTTCTTGGGCCATCTCTCCTCCTGATAGATCCATTGCTTCCTTTGTATTGTGAAAAAAAAAAAAAAAACGAAAAAAAACATAAACCAAACAAACTTTGTTTCAGGCCCCAATAGTCCCTACTTTCCATTTCCCCAGTGATACCATCTTTCAAAGGGTCCTTCCCCTGACCACCCCCATTGAGTGTTTCATCTTTAGCCAAAGTTCTTTACTTAGGATTCCCAAAGCCAGGTATTATTTCCTTAAAAATTACTTTTTGGAGAAAATGTTTTTTAGGTTAAACATGCATTAAGATAGGATTTCAATCCATATGTCACTAACTTATGTATAGAATAGAAGGGGGGGAAGAATAGAAAGGGATCTCTTCAACATAGTTGGATGATAAACCATGGTCATGTCATGCTTTGGCCTTATTTTCCATGGAATTAAATTAAATATACCCTTCTATACATGTACTTGCTTACATCTAGCGTAGCTTTTGTTAGGAAGCCATAAAGAAAAGAACAATAACAGTGCCTTTCCTTGCTGAAGTGCAGTGACTGGATTCTAGGCATATTTTGAGGGGAGAGCCAACAGGAACTCTGACAGCCTGGGGTGTGGAGAGTGAGAGGAGGCCCAGGTTTGGGCCTGGCCAACTAGAAAGGCTGGATAGGTTTTAAGGTAAAACTGTTAGGAGTTTTGTTTTTGAACATGTTTCAGCTGAGATGTCTATTTGACAATAATACATGGAGATATCCATCAGGCAGTTTGAATAAACAAGTCTGGATTTCAGCAACGAACTTGGAAATTTAAATTTGAAAAATGACAACATATATAACATTTAAAGCCATGAAACCAGATGCAATCAAAGGAGTGAGAATAGAGAAGTTCAAGAACGGGGCCTTGGAGCACCCCCAGGTCACAGGTCAGAGAGGAAAAGTTAACTAGCAAAGGAGTGACCAGGGAAATGGGAGAAAAACCAGGAGAGTACAGTGTCCTGCAAGCCACGGTCAGAAAGCACTTCTAGGAGGCAGACGTGACCTACTTTGTCAGTGTCACTGGTGGCATAAGAATGGCAAGGATGCAAACTGACCATTGGTTTTAGTAATGAGCATGTGATCGGTGAGCACTCCAGAAATGTGGACAGTATTTTTCTAAATATTTTAAAGCAGATTATGGGAATGACAGATCATAGTGGCAATGAAGGCCACATCTCAGGGCTCTACTGCTCCAGTGCTCCATGTGATAACTTTACTGGGGGAAAGTGTCGCACAGAACATACAATTTTATAAGACCGAATTGGGCGGGTCTCCCACCCTTTTAATAGCCTATAGGATTGCTCAGATCTGTGCTTGTGGAAATGATGAATATAGGTTCAGAGAGCATAATTCATTAGACCAGGATCACAGAGGTAATATTAGAGTGAAGACTTGAAGCCAGATCTACCTGACTGCAAAATCTGTGCTCTTGTCCCTAAACCAATGTCTGGGAGCTTCACAATATTGTCCGTGAACTTAGTAGACTAAATTCTGATATGTTAGTCACCGTATCAGTGGTATAATACTAATATATTAATTAACTCCCATATATGAAACTCAAGTATAAATTATTAAATGAAAAGAAATTATTTCAATGGTCTAAATTTTATTCTACTTGGATTATACATATTCTCCAAAATAATAATATCCCTTATCAGCACTATAGTCAAGCCATTCATTTACTCTAATTTGTTTCCAGGAACACTTACTCAAAAGAAAATATAACCTGTGTCTTTTTAACAATACCTGATTTTGCATTGCTCTCAAGGCTACTACATGTACATCGAGGCCTCCCATATGGTGTATGGACAAAAGGCACACCTCTCATCCGGGCCTCTGCGAGGAGTCGCTGGAAAACACTGCTTGGCCTTTTTCTACCACATGTATGGAGCAGGAACTGGCCTGCTGAGTGTTTATTTGAAAAAAGAAGGTGACAGTGAAGAGTCCCTCTTATGGAGAAGAAGAGGCGAACAGAGCATTTCCTGGCTCCGCGCGCTGATTGAATACAGCTGTGAGAGGCAGCACCAGGTATGCCAAGAGAGATAAGGCCCCGGTAATGGAAACATTCCTGTAAGCCTCTGATGTTCTTTCTATTTCTTGCTACCGGAGAGAATGTTTTGTTCTCTTCCAGGGTCATAGATAAAGGCAGTACTTGTTTAAGAGTAAACATAATTAGTCTGTATTGATTAAATCTAAGCAGTGAATGGGAAATCAGGCTTTCGGTATTTGTGCCTAAAGTGATTTTTGCAGCTCAGCGATGACAGTGTATCTATTTTTGTCTTGGTATATTATGGGCGTCAAGTACATGCTTTGAGTCCTGCAGATCTATAAAACCGAGTTTCCCTTTCTTCTCAACATGCTATTATCTCATTAGCTGTTGCAGCTGCATCATTCACTCCTCTTTACCCACATACAAGGGCTTGTGTTGTGAGCCTACATGTACCAGAGTACATGGTCCAGGGGAGATTTTTAAGTCTCTGTCCACCCGGGTGCGGAAGAAACTGAGAGTGTTGATGCTAAGTCCTGGGTCTCTCCCTGGAGCTCCTCGTGTACTGCAGAAGACCTTCGTCCTGAGGATCCCGGTTGTAAGGGAATCCGAGCAGTGATAGGAATGAGCCTTTTACGTGCCAATAGATGAGGTTGAGCAGCCAGGCTAGTCTAGATCAGCAGGGGCCTCCTGATACCACTAACTTCACCTGCCCCCATGCGCCAAAGCTTCAGAAAGCTCTGGGGAGATAACCTGCAGACCCCTGACTGCTCCTGAACTTGCTCTGAGCGGTTCTCAAGTGTGACCTTCAGCTGAAAGCCCTGCTTCCTCCTCATCCTCGCTTCTGGCTGATAACCCTCCTGGACCTGGACCTGGACTGCCCAACTGTAACCACAGGCTGCTTGGTCTAAGCCTAAATCTTCCTGGGAAGAGGTATCAAAAGTAAGGACTTTATTTTATATCACCTGCAACCACAATAACTTTTCTACAGATCTACATGGGGAGGAATTGCAGAAGCCCAGGTGGCCCGGTGGCAGTGCCATCTAGGGGGCAGCATTACTAAAGACAAATGACAGAGGGCATATGTGCCATTATCCAGGGATGGCCCATTACCTCAGCATGGATAAAACTGCCTAGGAATTTAGTAAAGAATAGCAGATTGCCCCCAAGGATTATTTTGATAGTGATTTAATGTCTGTTTACATAAGCAAAGTGGATCACTCAGGAACTTGCTAATATAATTTGTCATCATTTAGAGGTGATGGGTTAATTTGGTTAGGCTTTTAGGGCACCAAACACTGTTCTGATGTTTTCAAAGTATGGTCCTGAGACCAGCAGCAACACCTGAAGTGCAAATTCACCTGAAAAATGAAATTCACCTGAAATGCACAGTCTCAGGCTGCACTCAGACAGAAACTCTGGGGGTGGGGCCCGGAAATGTGTGTTTTAACAAGCCCTCCTGGTAACTCTGATGGATGCTAACGGTGGAGAATCTCTGTCTCTCGGGTAGAGCCCGAGTGCTGATGTTTTTTAAAACCCCCAAATGATGCTGATGCACAAGAGTTCTAGGATTTGAGTTCTGGGGAACAGGTGACTTCTCAGCATCTAAGCCCAGGGGGTCGGGTGCAGGGCCTTGCATCTATGAGACTTGCTGGGTGGCTAGTTCTCTGAAATGTTTTTTGAGCACCGAGTAGTGAGGCATCTGGGCTGGCACCTTGGGGTGCTCAGGTTCAAAGGGAACAGGATGGCCTGAGAGATTTATAGCTCACAATCTGGAAGAGTCCATTCTCTTTGGCTTAGGATGAAACAGATATGAATCTGCCTGAGGGGTTTTCTTCTGTATTTAGTGGTTCCCTCAGGTTTCCCAAACGACTGTGTGGAGACTGAACCAATTTCCTCAAAACATCCTAGTGTCTAATGAACGGACACACGCCCATGTGCAAGTAGAATGGCCATCTTCTATGTGCCAGGCACTTACAGTGCTCAGAGTCATACGTAAGTTCTTCCAACTGATCTTATAGCTCTTCCTTACCCATGGGAAAACCAGGTATCCAGCTGGTAAGTGGCAGAGTGAGAATTTGACCCCAGATCTGACTGGTCCCAAAGTTTGTATCTCGAAGCCACTCCCTCACACCATAGAAGTTCCAGGTTATACTCATTCCCCAGGATGTCACCAGCACTGGGTGACCTTGGAGAAATCTCATCCTCTCTGGGATGGCTTATATATTTTCAAAATGGGGTAATGATTCCTGCCAGGATGATACCACCCGAGTTAGAGTGAGGGTCCGATAAGATTATGTATGTGAGCCCTAGCTGGTGTGGCTCAGTGGATAGAGCGTCAGCCTGTGGACTGAAGGATCACAGGTTCAATTCCAGTCAAGGGCTTGATTCCCAGTAGGGGGCATGCAGGAGGCAGTCAATCAATGATTCTCTCTCATCGTTGATGTTTCTATCTCTCTCTCCCTCCCTCTCTCTTCCTCTCTGAAATCAATAAAAATATATTTAAAATACTTATTGACCACTATTACTGACCTGGTAAATGTGTACATCATCAGTAAGGGTAGGCATGTGGGGATGATTTTTAGAATTCTGTAGTACTGCTGTGATTTGAGACTCATCCTATAGGGAAAATATATGATTCCAATCATCAGATTATCCTGTAGAAGAAATGTTACCAAGTAGCAAAATTTTAATCATACTCCTTCCTAAGGGATTTATTAAAGTGCTAAGCAGAATCTGATTTGGCTATTGATCAAAAACACAAAATGATTTTATTTCCTTTGGATTTTTGGCTTACCCTTCCTTCCTCGTCGGCTGCTCTCAGGTGTTTTCCTCTCCGGTTTCTTATATTTTGCTGCAAGTGGAAGAAAGTATTCGACAGATCCTCAGCTCACTGAAATATGTACATCATTCATGTTTATTAGGCTGCCTAACATTTACTAGGAATCATTATGTGCCAGTACTCAGCTAAGCCCAGGTGCCCAAATGTTCTTGTTCATGGTACCCTTTGTCTCAGTTAATTATTTTCTGGTGCCCCACAGCCAAAAGAAAGACCTAACAGTTCCACTTATTAAGTAGTTGGGTTTCAAACAACTTAATAAGTATTTATGTCCTCATGACATAGTAGCCATCCCAAAAAATAATACTTAAATTAAAAGAAAAAAGTAATATTTTTATCTTATTCTTAAATAACCACAATTATTTACTAATAGGATGTATATCCATAATACAAGGGGGAATCATAATGCTATAAAATAGTTATTATTCAAGTATTAAGGAAATTCAAAGAAATTTTACGAAATCAAGTGTTTTAGCCCAACCACAGACTGTTAAGAATATAATTCTATCCAGCAATTTGTCTATTACATTTTATATTGTAGACTTGATGGTCAAAAACCAGGCTTTATTGTTTTTCAGAAAACCAAAATGCTTATTAACTACACTCATATATCCTCCTATATAGATGTGTTAGGACATTTTTTAAAACTCTTCTTGACAATGATTTGGATCTTCATTTAGGGTTGTGTCCTTAGAATTTCTATTAATGTTATTCTGACACATTTTTTGTTATTAAAGCTTCTTTGAGTCATTAATTCAAGATCATTTCATATGTTTATTAATTATCCACTTTATATGCTTTGATTTACTTTGAATCATAAACTAGTCCACTGGGGAGTCATTTGCTCATTAAATGAATAGAGAAACTGTGTCTTCTGGATACTTTTTATTACCCATAGCCTCCCTTGAGTACTCAATGGTTATTAGCCATAGTTGGGCTGCCTTAGAGATTATAATGTAATTGATTTACCCTAGAACCTCAATATTGGATTAGTTATTTTCTTCTCAGGATCTAAAGTCATAAAATTGGTTCCCTCTTCATCCTGGGCTTTCTTGGATATCATGGTATTTAACATGATAAGTGAAACATTGTGTTTTGTATAAATTTAACTAGAGGTCAGCTGCAAGAATTCATGCATGGGTGGGGTCACTTGGCCTGGCCAGTGATCGATGCCCATCAGGGGGTTGGGTGGCTGGGGAGGAGGGGCCCTGGGAGGTTGGCCTACCGGGCCCCCAAATCAGAGCCAAGGGGGAGGGACCACGGGAGGTTGGCTGTGGGAGCACACTGACCACCAGGGGCAGCTCCTGCATAGAGCATCTGCCCCCTGGTGGTCAGTGCGTGCCATAGCGACTGGTTGACTGGTTGTTTCAGTCATTCTGGTCATTCGGTCCTAAAGGTCTCTTAGGCTTTTATATATATAGGTGAATGTGCTTTGCTGTTCATACATGGATCTCATCAGTCATATTAAATTCTTCCACCTAGCACCAGGATTGAGGCAGATTTATGGATCTCTAAGCCACTCATAGGCCCTGAGTGCTAGGAGTAGAATGTTCTAGGTGGGGAAGGGAAACCAGGTCATCATCAGGAAGCATTGCAAGGTGAGCATTTCTAGAAAATTACGCAAAGGTACCTCAGGAAAAAGGGATCTGAATCTCCAAGGATCCAGTAATTTGTTGTGAATTTCTTTACCTTAGAAATAAGTATTCTCTTTTGTACCTAAATTTGAAGTTGTGATTTTGTATTCTCTTCCTTAAGCCCTAAGAACAGTCTAAGCCTCTAGACCAGTGGTTCTCAACCTCCCTAATGCCATGACTCTTTAATATAGCTCCTCATGTTGTGACCACAATTTTGTTGTTACAAATTGAACATAATTAAAGCATAGTGATTAATCACAAAAACAACATGTAATTATATATGTGTTTTCCAATGGTCTTAGGCGACTCCTGTGAAAGGGTTGTTTGACCCCCAAAGGGGTTGTGACCCACAGGTTGAGAACCGCTGCTCTAGACCCATATAACCTGGATCTGTCCCTGATCAGTCTTGCTTTATCAGGATGACTCTATTTCTAATTTCAAACTTAATTATTTTTCAGATAATTTTTGAGGCCATTCGGGGAATGTCAATAAGAAGTGATATCGCCATTGATGATGTTAAATTCCAAGCAGGACCCTGTGCCCAAAGGGGTTGTGATCCCAATTATAAAAAATTGATTGAAAGGGGATTTTGCAACAGTCTCAAATGATAAGAATGCAAATTCAGTATTTTTCTACAATAAAAATAGAGGAAACTGTTATTGTCTATTTATCTCCTGACAGAAATGGAAGATATAACTCAGCAGTCATCAGGATATTTTGAGGATTTAAATGAAATTGAATATTAAGAAATAACCTGAATTGGATTAACTAAACAAAAGCATTACCTCTTCAATCAAAATGAAAACAACACAAATGAATACTGGACAGTCTTAACTATTTTATAAGTTATAAAATGACGTCAGAGCACTCTTCTTCATTACTTTTGCAAAAAATACTGACTCAGGGCTTTTTTTTTTTCATATGACAACTGTTACTAGAAGTACAGGCTGCTGGTTTTGCATAGATCACTCATCTTAATTTTGGTACCAGTTAAAAACACAAATGTACTATACTCTCGTCATTTTTAAAGCACACAAGTAAAAGGCACAATCAGAATGGGATGTGCTCACTTAAATCTGCATTCAGTGAATGTATTGGGAGGAGAAGTCTGTGGGTTTCCATTTGAATTTCAAATATCATAATATGTTTAAAGAAATAATGTGGGGTGTCAGTAATATCTGCAAAATGAATGCAATTTTTATGGTAACAAGTTAGCCTAAGAATATAAAGTTTTATTTTCTGTTTTATTCATAGAAATGGAGTTTTAATTTTTAAATATTTTTACTACATGTTAGATAACAAAGGATCTTTTATGAGTGTCCCGGGTAACGTCAGTATTAATTAATGCTGTATTACAAGGCAATGCTACCTTCTTCCCCACACCCTTTAAACTACTTTTGAAAGTTACTATGAACACATGGATAGAAATTGCACTCTTTTTTTATAAAGCAAGCTTGAAAATAATTATATACACATGCCCCAAATTTTTTTAAGTGTGTTGAACAATTTTACTGATTTTTATAACAAATGTTTTAGAAAGGATTTGAGTAATATAAATGCCAGAAGAAATAATAAACTACTGCTTTTCATGTTTAGAAAATTGTATATACATGTTTATATACCTAAACAGCTGTTATGAAATTATAAGATTACCTAATAAAAGGTAATTTGAAAATCTTTTCACTGGCAATTAACTCATTTCTATATTATTTTTTGTTGTCAGAATATCTTTACTACTTAATTGCATATTCTAATTTGAATTTCTATCCTGCCACAACTAACTGCTTCTTTTATTTTTACGTCCGACTTTTTATTTTATTTTATTTTTTATTTTTTTCTTTGATTAAGGTATCTTAATTGCATATTCTAATTTGAATTTCTCCCCTGCCACAACTGCCTGCTTCTTTTATTTTTACGTCCGACTTTTTATTTTATTTTAT